TGCTGAACACAAAATAAGTTATTTTGAAGAATGTGTGTAACCAAACGGTTGATAGCCATTGTATGGAAAAATACAGAGAAACTCAATGTTTGGTTCATTCCTATCTAAAACATTCAACTGTTTGGTTACACAGAGTTCTTCAAAATATCTTCTTTTTAACAGAATGAATGAATGAATAAATAAATGTTGGGAACAATTTGAGGGTGAGTAAACGATGACATAATTTCTATTTTTGGGTGAAATGTCCATTTAAAATAATAATAATAGTAATAATATAAAAAAAGGAAAATGGTAAAAGGGGATTTTATTGTCAGCGTACAATAAACTGATATTAACATTTTAATAAAAGGGTGCTAATAGTTTAATTAAAGAATATTACAATTCAAATGATTATTTGATAAATGTATCAGAAGAAAAGATGCATGAGAGAAAATGCATATTTTATATACTCTTTTATATAATAAAATATATCTCTACATAGCCAGTTGTATTTTTATATCACCTAATTACTGTATAACTACTTTATCTGCTAACTTTTGCCTGCAGTCAGAAACATGCAATCAACATGATTATTATTATTATTATTATAATACAGTAAATTTGAAGCAATCAATTTAATAAAAATCGATCCTGGGTGTGTTTAACTATCACTAGATGGCAGCACAAACACAGATGTCTCTGAACATTTAAAGTTTTCGTTTTTGCATATTTGTTGGCACCGAGTCAAAGATCTAAAGGTCAATGATCGGACAAAAATGCACGCCTCTGATTGTAATATGTTTGTACCTATAGATATAAAAGTTTAAAACGTTGGGAGTGATCACGGGCCTATTTAGGCCTCTAATAATAATATCTACACTGATAAGAGCACGAACTTTGGTATTAGATTGTGGACGAACGGCTGTGCCAGTGTTGAGCCTGCACTGCAGCGATTCGAAGTTTAACTGATCTTCGGAATTTCGTACAAATTGCTCAAAGAGCCGTATAAAAACAGCCCCCCTTTTACATAAATATTGGTTTCTGCCATCCTCAAATGGAATATTATGTACTCTATATTCTGGTATAGGCCTATATCACATATTGCTTAATTTTTCTATTAATAATTATGTTTTATTGTAATTTCACGTGGTAGGCCTACATATCTCTGATATTTTGTATAAACAAAACGTTTAGAAACCAGCACATTTACATTAAACTGCTGAAATATCCCGGCTAAAAACGTTTTGTACGTTTAGTAAAATGCGATTTGTAAACAAATTGTTCAGATCATTTTAACCGGTTCGTCTGGATGATTGAAAAGATCCGACTCAAAAGAGCGATTCGGACATCGCTGCAGCAGTGATTGGCAGTCATATGTCCAGCCCCCTTTTCCTTTCATCGTCCATGAGATCATAATGCACCATAAAAACACTGCAACCCAGCTATTTACGAAGTGTTAGTTATAATCAAAGGAAGGATTATGGCTTCAGAAGCGATGGAATTGAATGGAGATGCTAACAGAAGTGATTCAAGAGAGGTGAGTGATTTTGAACATATCAGTATCATTTAAAACGAGCTCAAACGCATCCGCCAATGGGATGTTTGTGTTCAAGTTTAACCCATTATATTGATGTCTATAAAATCCAGTCGGGTTAGATAAAAATACATTGACCGAACCATACATAATCTTATAACGAAGGTTTTTGTGTGGTTATTGTTGTCTGAAAGCGTTTCTTTAGTTTTTTGAAAGAAAAAGGCTGCTCATGTAGGCTACTTCATTTTCCATACTGTAATGCAATGCACTTGTGTGGACGAGTCTAACTGAAGGGACAGCCTACTGTGGTGTGGCCCGCGGGGTAAATCTTATAATCGCAGACCATGTGAGGATAGAAGCTGATAGAAGCTGCTTTCGACTGGTCGAGAGGTTTGTTTTTGTAACTTACAACCTTCCGTTACTGGAAACAAACGTCTTGTACAACTTGTAAGTGAGTCCTTAACATTTCAGCTCACGCGGCACAAAAGCGGTTCAAAGTTTGGAAACAAGCCTCTTATTCATTACCCCGGTGTTTCGCTCGACTGCGTCCAGACTGACTTACGATGAGATCACCGGTCCGTGTAACCCTCAACAATAGGCTGTGAAAGACACTAATAAACTCTGTCAGTTCCGACGACACACATGAATAACGCACATTTAAAACACTGCATAAAATGCAATGCACAGCGATGCCCACAAACAAACCGCGGGGTAGCACAATTCTACATGAACTAAATAACGTAACATGTAACACAAGTAAACTTATTTCAACAAAAATGTCACTATGAGATGGTTTCGAACTAGATTCCGTCATAATTTCCATTTATAAAAAAAGGGTACTTTTAACAGTATATTTACCATAAAGGCATATATTGGTTTCTTAATTATTAATATTCTTTGTAAATTATAAAGTAATACCCCTTTCCTCAATATAAATTAGCCTATATAATACATGTATTCCATATTTTATATGAATGTAATATATGGAACTTATACATTTAACCAATTAACTATTTATCTTACAGATCCATTCCAACCATGAAAATGAACCAAATTAATTTTCCATTAAAATGTAACAGTAAAACCATAATGGATGGATTCTACTTTGAGCTAGCCAAGTTTTACCTTCTCTCTAGCCAAGGAGGGAACAAAACATGTACAAAGTAAACAAAAACGTGACATCACATCATAAATTATGTTCTAGCAATAAAGACCTATCTAAAGCATTTTGTATAGTAGTTCCTATTACTACTACTAGATAATGTGTAGTTTGTTATTTTAGGGTAAAATATGAATGTATAGGGGAAAGTGTATTTTATGTTTTGACAGGTCACAATTTCTTATTACAAGTTTTTTCAACTCTTGCAATTCCCTTTGCTTATGTTTTTAATTCATTTAAACCTTAAATTTGAATGTTTTTTATGTTTTTCGTACACTTTCATTACGGTTTGCACTGAAGAAAGGTGAGGTGAAGTGGTTAGAAAGACTAGAGGAACATCTTACCACCAGTGGATTTTTTTCACTCAACAAACACCCTGAAACACACAAAATCAAACATATAATCATTCCTGTGGGCAGCACCAATGCTTAAGACACTGTGTGTTTAGGCAGACTGAAAGGGCAATGATTTCTATGTGGCTAATTTCTATGCCCAGTGGAAATGACGCCTCCACCTGGCTTTGGTATGATGTAATATTTGAGTAATATTATGGACAATTGCACCATTGATTGTAATTCTAGTGCCACAGGTCTATAAATAGTCTAGTCGCAAAGGGGAAAAAAATAAACAAAATTCACATGTATCAGCAAAGTTAACAGTTAAAAACTATAGTTGTACCATAGCTCTAGGTTTGTTGAGTGCATTACAGTTACATATCACTTTGCCACATTGTTTATTAACAAGTAGCAGCAGCTGTGCTCTGCAAGATATTTAATCGGTGGCATAATGAAGTGGTTCAACAGACAAGAGTGATGCAAGTCTGAAAAACAAGATAAACACATGGACTTTTTCTGCTTTTACCACTTCAGCTGTGGATTCATTAGTTATACAGTAGAATGCATACAGTATATGACATATGTATAGCCCATGCAAGTCATTACAAACTGTCAGGGTTGCAATGTCTTTATTTTTAAATGCTTGATTTATGTGTATGAAATACTTCGGGTAAGTGTAGCCGGGAGAACTTTTACGGCATTTCTGGTTTGAAAGAAAGCTTGGGAATCTTTTGTTTTTTAACAACTAATGAGCTGCATGGATCTATAGCGGTTACTTTTAGATAACTGGTTCAGTTTTCTACAGGAAGGGTGTTGTATAAGTGTCAGCATCTGAGTGTTATTGGGGTTCATGGAAAGAGGGAGTTTTTCTACTTTCTTTGCCACTCTCAGCATAGGCACAAGGGTTCTTGTGTTGGGCAGCTGGACTGAACCATACCCAAAGTCAACCCCTGTCCAGCACTCCCCTGAAGAGCCTGGAGAATGTGTGGGTATATATGCAGTGCAGTCAGTCTCAACCAAAAATGAGTCATTTTCTGCCATTTCATAAATTTAGTTTGGGGGAATTCATTGTCGGGGGGAATTTTTGTTAAAACTGAAGATTGAAGTCTGCTATCTGGCTGGTGAGAATAAAATAAAACAAAGTAGATGTAATAATGTGACACCAGAAGGACATCAGAGCCAGCTCACACCTGCAGCCTGACCTCTCCTCTGCCATAATAGAGAAGAATAATGCTTTTGTGTTCACAGAGCCGTATTAGCAAGAGGCATACAGAGCTCTTCCTCTCACTGTTCTCAGAAAGGTAAATCTCATGGATCGCATGACCAGCTCTTTATTATCTCGTTTAAAAAGAAAGAGGGATTTCTTGAGTTAACAAATCTTCACACTAAGCCAAAAAGTACAATGCGAGTTTGACGACTTGTGTACTAAACACTTCAGATATATTACTCCAGCAACAAGAACTATAAGAACAAACTTTTGAACTTCTAATACATCTGAGAATGTAGAACTGTGTTTGAACGCTTTGAGTGCCAAACATTCCGTCTCTGATTATGATTATTATTAATAATGCTTTGTACTAACTAATGTTTCAAAGTGCATTTGTTTCCAGAACGTCACAGAGAGGAAGTCAGAATTTCTGACTTTCCAAAAAGCTGATTTAACAGCATAAGAATTCTTAAGCTTGTATTTAAGGAAGTAATCAGTTACAAATTGAAAATTCTACTGAAATCCCAGATAGCACTGATTGCACACAATGTTGAGTTTTCATCCAAACAAATTAAGTATTATCTTGGCTGAGGCTGACATTTCAGTATTTAAAGTATGTTGGTTCAACATTGAAATTTTGATGTAAGCTGACAGCACACATGGCTGGAGACAGGAATATTGAACTAATATTGATTTGTTGTTGATGACCACGACATCATAAAAGTATTTATTTGCAGAATTCTAATGAGCGTTAATCAATCAGTGGAGCATTTTCAAACCATGATGGGCATGTTCAACTGCTTTACCTGATTTGTTTTAATCCACTGGTGGCTTGGTTTAACAGTGGGTCTTCCAGTAAAGCAGTTGAAAAACCCCTATTGTAGCTTGAAAATGATTAAGAAACTCCCATTTTGGTCCTTCATGTGCACTTCTCAAAACTATTTTTACACCGGGACTGGTGCCAGAGCCCAAATGGGAACCGGGCTACACTTTTTCACAGATTTTTTTTTTTATTATTGATTTTAAGTTTTTTTTTAAGTTGATTCAGGTAAATTAACAACACTAACACAACAGTTAAGTATGACAGTTTAGAAATGGTCAGCAGAAGAGATCAATGCTCTCCTTCCACAAGAGATAACAAGCGATTGCAGTCACATGTTGGTGACATAGAGGGTTCTGCTCCTTGCCAGTGGAAACGCAAGCCAGTTCTGATTTGGGTGCCACTCAGCACCAGTCGAAAAGTGGTCTCAGAAAAATCCTGAGACTAGGATCTGGTTCCGAACCGGCCCCGAAACCTTGCTGGTCTCGAACAAGGGAACCTATCATAGGTAGGTATCATATCGTAGGCGAAGCATCCACTATAGACCACCATTTGAAAGGTGCAATTTTTAAAAGCAGTTCGAGGTTCAGGTAAATTAACAATTAAGTATTTCAGTTCAGCAGTGGTCAGCAGAAGAGACCAAGAAATAACAAGTGATTCCAGTCACAAGTTAAACAATGTTGCAGCTACATCTATTATTTGTCTATTCCTTTCAAGTTAATACTCTAATGAGAGTTAGCTGACATGTAGGTGCAATGTTAGAGAATGTCTAATGTGGACGATCAAAATGAAGTGTAGGAATTTACTTTCCTACAACATTAAGCAGATTTCTTGAAGTGCAAGTGACAAACCTGAGCAAGAATGTCAGTTTATACACAGCCCATGTCTTACATATATACTAAATGCTTGCATAGCATCTTGCGTTCTTTTCTTTCCCTTAGCACAGGGGTCTCCAAACTCGGTTCTGAGGGCCGGTGTCCTGCAGAGTTTAGCTGTTAAACTCTGCAGGACATCGGCCCTCCAGTACCGAGTTTGGACACCCTTGCTTTAGTAGAAGTAAAGGCAGGTGAGGATGGACAATTACAGAAATGAGAAGCACCCACCTAATAATGGTGACACTAATTATATGTTGAGATGTAGTCAACGGCATGATCACCTGACCGGGGACTTGATGCTATCCTGTGCTACTGTATATGTCCTGCTCTCCAGTTACTGCTTTATCAGGTAATCATTCATTTTCCTCAATTAGTATTACAATCCATCGATTTGACACTTTTCTCCAATGCAATGTACTTGTTCTCAAAACAATTAGCACAGCCATCCAAACGCAAAATTATCTTATATTATGTTCAACTTTACTGCAAAATGAAGCACTGCAATTTTTTCTAGTAATGCATTTATTAAAAGTAAATATTAACATCAAATAGGTGGGTTCTCTATTGATTATAAAACATGCACATTCAGCTGTAGATGCACAAATATGCTAATGAAAATACATGTTTATTTCAATTATTATTGATTTATTTTATTGTTACTATATTTTATTATTATTTGCATATTTGTTCTTGCTCTTTGTATACTTTCCCTTTTATTATTACTCTAAAGCAATTGTGATAAATGTGTAAACGATTAGGAAAACTGCATTTCCTGTGTTGAGTGTATAATTAACTGAGCAGTTATCAGTTTAGGGCCAATCGAAAATATACTATGTTCATTTGATCGAATGACAAATTACAGAGTTTTGTTTATTGTGTTTGGACAAATGGTTCATAAATGTTTGTGATTTGTGTAAAGCCTTTTTTCAGCTATTTTAAAGTATTGGTTGGTTGTATTAACTCAGGGCTGTCCAAACTCGGTCCTGGAGGGCCGGTTTGTGTAAAACCTTTTTTCAGCTATTTTAAAGTATTGGTTGGTTGTATTAAATATTGTGAAAACAGAGAGTTTTGTGCACATTGTTTTGAGAAAATTATTTGCATTATTTGTAATTTGTATGAAATGAATTAAAATATTCAATCTGTTTAGGAAAAGATAGTATTCAGATCACTGTGTTAACTGTTTTGAGAACAGTGACCTGAGTTTGGAGAAATGTGTAAAATCGATTGAGAAAAACTGTAAATGTGATGAATGTAACTGATCTCCATTCAGTTTAGCCTGTTTCCACTTAAACACAATCACAAAAAAACTACTTGCGTTTATGAGAAAGTGGCAGTAGAGGCCATTTTGTGACATTTAAGGAGATTAAAGTCTAAATAAGGTGAATCCACTGTACAGCTTATTATATTATTTACAGACTAATGTTCCCATCCCATACTTTTTCCTGTGAGTAATGGCCATAGCTCAGAGGTGGCCAGCTTCATGCTGAGTTTCGAGTTCACGGATCCAACACACCTGCCTGGAAGTTTTCAGTGATCATAAAAACATTCATTAGCTGTTAATAAACTCGGCTGAAGAAACTGGACATCCCTGCCATTGTGCTTTTATTTATACGTTTTTATTGTAGAAACTGTATTGATATTAAAGTGTGAATAGGTTTGAGCTAATAGATTAAATAGAATTTAACGATGCTACAATCATAGTTGGAATGCTTTTGTGTTAACTAAAAAATGAATCATATTGTGTTTAACATATTAACATTCCTGAATGTGACTGTGTATGACAAATGAATTGACTTGCTCTTAAGCGACATTATCCTTTCTTTTTCAGATTCAGGAGAACCCAAAGGAAGAAAGGCAGCAGTCTGATGTAAGCCAGCTTCTAAAACTTGAACCACTGGACCACCTGTAGTCTGTCATCAGACTCCTGAAACGAATCATTTTAAAGGTTAAAGTGTTTTTGTCCCACTTTCATTTTTAAAAGACTGATATTTTGTATCTTTTTGTCATTGATTGTGTTAAACTTAAAATAAAAAATAAAGTGACTTAACTGCTGGAAAGGTGTCATTTTCCTTTTAAAAGGGTTTCCCCAAACTATGAAGCGGTCAGGAATGTGTTAATGTTCCATTGAAGTGTAGTTGAAATATTAATGTTTCAACATTAACTAAGGGTGAATAAGCGATGAACCATCATCACTTCATAACGTTGATTCAGTGACATTAGTGTTGTTTTATTTTTTATTTTTTTTAATTTAACGTTTCAACATGAACTGAGGGTGAATAAGTGATGAAGCACCATCACTTCATAATGTTGATTCAGTGACATAACCATTGTTTCTTTGATAATTCGACATTAACTGAGGATGCATAAGTGATGTTGAACCATCATCACTTCATAATGTTGATTGAGTGACATTACCTTTGTTGTTGTTGAAATATCCCTATTGTTTCTACATTAATTACGGGAGCAAAAGTGATGTTGAACAATGTCACTTCATAACAGTGATTCAATTATATTATCATTGATGTTTTGTAAAAAACTCACCATTGTTTCAACATTAATTACGGGTGCAAAAGTGATGTTGAACCAACCCCACTTTGTATCATTAATTCAATGCAGTTAGAGTTGAGGCATCAACATTGGCTTAACATTGTTTCTAAGGTTGCTTGCTTTCTGGGATGAAAGCTTTAAGGAATTTAATTTGACATTTGAGAGGTTTCTGTTGTGCAGAGGTTTCTATAACCCTGTAGCAACGACTTCTGTTTTAAACAGAAGGAAGGAAATTATGTCAGGGTCAACTAACCACTCACCCCTTCCCTTCACATGCTACAAACATCCTAAAAAAAACACAAGTGACTTTCATTTCCTTCTAAAGCTGAGAAATGTGACCATAGATGACCCATGACTCAAATTTCAGAAGAAAATATTGCAGGTCAGAAAAAAACCATTGTGCATGAGTCAAATTCTATGCAAATTGTAAGCCTCACTTGAAAGCATATTGTGATTTACCCAAGTAATGTGTTATACTGTATCAACAACCTGGTCCTCAAATCTGGTCAGAGCATTAACCCGAAACTATACCTCTTAAATAAAAGACTTAAGCAACATTATTTGATAATACTGTTTGATAACCCAAACCCTAAAATCTGGTTGATAGCAAAGTTGTCCTAACAAGGACCCAGAAACCGATTTCCTCCATCTTTCTCTGTAAACAATAACATTGTATGATGCACATGTACTCATTACCTTGTCTCATTCCCATGGATGTAGTAAGTAACATCACGTGTGTGTGTTTAGCGTCCTCGGCAGAACCACTGGTCAAGGAACACCCCAATTAACATGAACCACTATGCCAATAAGAAGAGTGCAGCAGAGAGCATGCTGGATATCGCGCTGCTGATGGCCAACGCCTCCCAGCTGAAGACCATCCTGGAGCTGGGACCCACGTTCTCCTTCTACATTCCTCTCATCAGCCTCATCAGCATCTCCCTCATCCTACAGATCATCGTGGGGGTCTTGCTTATCTTCATAGGTGAGAGAAACCAACCAAACTGAGAACCTAAGTTTACATGCGTCAAAATATAGACAATAGTGATTTTATACATGATTAGATTTGCTTCTGTAAGACAAAACATACTGTGATTAGCAGTATCACACCCTATTTCATATAGTACTTCATATTGCATAAAATGACACATTGAAGTATGAACATCATATCATATGCAGTGGCCCAAAAAATTTATATCACCTTTTATAATATAAATACCCTTTAAAAAAACCATGAGCAACTATTTAAATTAAACCTTTCAAACTGGTAGTGTAGTATGCAAAGCAGTATTTAAATATTAAACATCTCAAAAAGTAGTTCAACGAAAAGTGAAAATTCTCTTTACTCACCCTCATGTATTTCCAAACCTATGTATGACTTTGTATTATGTTCTGAAGAATGTTCATGGTGTTCTTCAAAAAAAAAAAAAAAAAACATAAAACTAGTCAGTACAATTTAAGCACTTTAATCCTAGTCTTTTGAGGTCATTTGCTTGAGGAACAGATTGAAATACAAGTCATCACTTTTACCAAAATCTTGCCTTGAAGATCCTGTTTGACAGCAGTGGTCACCATTCAGTTTTACTATATAGAAAAAAGCAGCATGGATGTTTTGCTGTAATAAAAATTCCATTTGTGTTCTATGAAAAAAAAAAAGAAAAGTCTTCCTTACTGGGTTCTGAAAGACATGAGGGTGAGTAAACAATGACAGGAATGTAACTTTTGGGTGAATTCTTTTAACATTTGGCAGTTCAATCCAGTAATAACTGTCTAGAAGGAGAACTGATAAATGCTCTATGCATACCAAAACAGTACTTTAAGTACAGAAGTTGCAGAGAGGTTGATCCTATACACAAATATTTGTATGTAATAAATATAGTTTCAACATGAATATATCAGGTGGTGAAAGTCAATCCTGCAGCACTTTGGTGTTTCCCATCAGACATTTTAAAAGATGTAAAACAGCTTTTACTTTTATTTTTGTCCACATAGTGTGAGTAAGAGCAGATGAATTATCATATGAATCATATCAAGAGATTCAGTCCCAATTTGAGAAATATTCATATTCTCTGCTCAACTTCAAAAAGCCCCCAGCGTCCCATTTCTAGCAATCATTCCTATTTCCTCAAACACAACTCTGTCTTTACACCAGAATCCGCTGTGAACACAATCAGGCTCTAATTAATGGAAAATGAGCTTTAGCTTTGGTATTGAAGGTTTTAGAGTAGTCATGCAAGTTCTTTTGAACATGAGCTGTGAGTAAGTGTGTGGTGCTAGAGGTTTTGACACTTGCTTTATAGAATGATGGACACCATATAGTTATAATCATTTTGTCAGATTTTAGCCTTTCATTTTAATTTAAGAAGCTGTTAAATATCCTTTTCTTAAATGTTCTGAATTACATAATGAGCTGCTGTTATTGCTCTTGTTCTACAGTGAAGTGGAATCTGAATGACACAAGTAAACACTACATACTGAATCTTCTGGAGAACATCGTCACAGCTCTCGTCTTTGTCGTCGTAGTAGTAAATGTTTTCATCACAGCATTTGGAGTCCAAAGACCAGAGGACACGAAATCATAACTGGCAACATGAGTTTAGGATTTCATACAATTATACATTTTTGGACATTTACTATCAAACATCAAGCAAGTTGTCATGACATATTCAAATGTGCCTCGATGTAAATATGCCTTATGTTTTGCAGAAACTTTTTTTAGTCCCAAAATGAGCTAATAACAGCTTAAGTAATATAAATGTAATTTAAAAAACGCAACTACATGTAATTATTTTATGGGTAATTGTTTAATTACATAATTCACTTTGTTAAAATGCATCAATTGTGAAATTGGATTGGATAGCCTATTCTAATCGGATCATTACTGAGATTGGAAATAATCAAGACAGAAACTAGTCACACAATACCTTTCAAGCCCGAAATGGAGAGTAGCACCTCACCTCACATGGGACGTTCATACTGCCTACCTGATCACTGTATCAGCTGTCTATATGGGGAAAATAGACTCATTTTACGTGTGGTTCAACACAATGCAACTCTCTTGAACTTTCAAATAAATCCAGAAATAACAGAAAATAAACACAAGGCCAACAAAAGTATCCCTCTAGTTCAGCCGTCTCCTTTGCATAAAGGAATAGATCAATCCTTTGATAACGTTTGTATTTGTTTTTACTTACAGGTCTAATTTGCTGCATGAATGATAAATTGCTTACAAAGTCAAAGAAGTCTAGTAATTGCAGTGAAGAGTGTTTAAATCGGCACTTTAGCTAAACTGATATTTTTCTTACAAAACTCTGGAAGTGAAGATTAAGTATCATAAATACAGCACATTTTTCTTCCTTTTATTAACCCCAAAACGTCAGAAATTGATTTTGAGAATTTGTATAAGTGCACCATCTACTGACTAGGCAAGCATATTGCCTTTTTCCTTTAAGTATTTTTATTTTAAATTTTAATGTTGTTTAGTGTTTTGATGTTTGTTGTGATTATTTACTATCCATATGTTTATATGTTTCTTGGACTTTTTGTACATTTTATATCGATATTGTTTGTATAAATGGCCAACGATTTTCTTTGTTTTTCACTTTTAGAGAGCAGTATTGAGTAATAAAAGAAAATCAAGTAATTCAAAATAATTGCATTTAGTCATTATTTCAGTGCATAGATAAATAGTAGACCAACTTAGTTGTTCAGTATTGCGCACTGGTCTTCTTCAGTACTAAATCGGCTGCATTTAAGGACAAAACAATAATTCTGACATCAATAAAACTATTTTTCAGCAATCATTTTTTTTGCAACTAGTCAAGTGTTTGTTTTGGTATATCAAGACGTGGAAATCAAATTCATCTCCAAGTACATTAGCAACAGTTCCACACTTTTATTTAGCCTAATCATTTTTTTAACCCCTGACAAAAAATATAGTTTCTCAGTTAACTACTGTGAATGTGCCCCATTAGCAAATTCATCTGAAAAGTTTCCAGGCCAAAAGTTTTATAAAACACTTACAGTTGCACTGCAGAAACAAGGCCACAAGAGTAAATTGACAATATTAATTATTAGTACACAAACCAGTACAAACATGCTGCTAGTATAAAAGTAAGCAAACAATATAAACATATTTGTTGAAAACTTAGCCCACAAAAAAGGTATTACAAAGTAACAAACTCCTAATACTCCAAGATACTGGACTTTAAGGTTATCTGTAGTCTTTATTGTCTTATGTGTCAAAATATTGACGCGTTGATCAATTTGATTTGTCAAGTTTACCCAGTTTTGCATGTACTAAATGGCGTAGTGAATTATAAACCTCCAACATTTTACTACTATAATCTCTTGGCAAGTCCCAAGTCTGTGAGAATTGAAAGATACCGACTATAAATAATATATAAATGAGTTTGACGTCTATTTTTAAAGTACAATAAAACAAATGCACAAACAAAATGAGGGTCGCAACATTAACAGAGCAGCTCAGCGTTTCAACTTCAACTAAATACTTTAGTGCAAGTAGCAAGTTTGGTTCCTATCCCAACTTTTCTTAAAAGTAATGAGTTCCTGCCCTTGGTATTGCATATAAATTGCTATTATTTCAATGACTGTAATGTTTTTGTTTAAAAATATTAAGCAGTTATATAAACCATTCAATAGTTATATTTAAAATTGTTACAAGAGATTCCAGATTTAGCCATGAAACCTAAAAATGAAATCTTTGGAATTTTGCCATTCTAATTCTGATTTCTAACAATAATTTCTCTATTATACATAGTATGTACATATTTTTTAAAACCTGAATTAAAATATTTTTTTGATATTTTTGACAAGGATAACGGAGTATTTCAGAATCAATTGCTGTGTCTAAATTCTTTTTTTAAGGCAGCAAAAAAGCCATCATTTTCCATCTTCTGTGTACCAGATGAGAACGTCCCGCACTTTTCTACTAAGACCCATCGCAGCCAGACCCATCGCACTGCTGGAGCCTGACACCTGCTTGGACTCTGCAGAAAAAAAACATTTGGAGTGCTGTCAGTCTAGGAAATGCATATTTTTGATGTGGGTATTAAGATATTAACAAGTTTGTGTACGTACCACCATAGTAATACAGCAGAGCTGCTCCTACAGCCAAACTGAAACAACTAAGGAAGAAAAACGGACCTGCGCAGTGACCAAAAAAAAACAACAACAACATTTTATATATATATATATATATGTGTGTGTGTGTGTGTGTGTGTGTGTGTGTGTGTGTGTGTGTGTGTGTATGATCCTGGACCACAATACCAGACATAAGGGTCTGATGTATGGTTTGTTAGGACAATATTTGGCCGAGATACAACTATCCGAATATCTGGAATCTGACGGTGCAAAAAAAAAAAATCAAAATATTGAGAAAATCGACTTTAAAGTTGTCCAAATGAAGTCCTTAGTAATGCATATTACTAATCAAAAATTAAGTTTTTATATATTTACAGTAAAAAATTTGCTAAATATCTTCGTGGAACATGATCTTTACTTAATACACTGTATTGTTGGCTATTGCTACAAATATACCCCAGCGACTTAAGACTGGTTTTGTGGTCCATGATGGGACATCATTCATGTAAATTGTGTACATTTACTAGTGCATAATCACTGAAAAGGTTGACTTACTATGGTCATTCATTACATATCTGTCCTTGGGACTCGTGATTGGGACAACTGGTTCACCAGACTCTACAAAAACAAATAAAACTTGGTGGTCAAACCGAAAACACTTCAAAGTCAAGCTTAATAACAGGCTGAAAGGAACAGTTCACCCAGCTGAAAACGTATTCACCCTCAGGCCATCCAAGATGTAGATGAGTTTGTTTCTTCATAGGAACACATTTGGAGAAATGTAACATTTCATCATTTGCTCACCAATGGATCCTCTGCAGTGAATCAATTCACATCTTGTGAAGTGAAAATCATTAAGCCATTTTTAACTTTAAAATGTCGCTTCCGGCCAAATAATAATGCATCCAAATGTTAACATAACATATTAGTTTAGAACTTTTTTTTTAACCTTTTTTACTTGTAAACGGTGCTTAATCTGTGCATATTTCTCTCCTGATTCAGATTAGACTATTTTTTCACTGGAGATAGCAATACTATATATATTGCTATATTATAGATATTTTAGCCAAAGGAAATGGTTTTAAAGGGGTCATATGATGCGATTTCAAGTTTTCCTTTCTCTTTGGAGTGTTACAAGCTGATTGTGCATAGATAAGATCCCTGAAGTTGCAAAGACTAAAGTCTCAAAACCAAAGAGATATTCTTTATCAAAGTTAAGACTCTGCCACACCCCCTAAAACGGCTCGTTCAAACACGCCCCCACATATCTACCTCACTATGTGGGAATATTTGCATAATGCGCCCAAATGTGCACGCAAAGAAAGAAGGCGTGGTTTCAGTAACCGCAGTTAGTGTTGAAGCAGCCATGTCAGGGAGACGCTGTGTTTCTAGGCGAAAGCAAAAGCACTTTATTTGGCCTTCCAGAAGTAGATGCATTTAGGAATCTTTAAGATAACTTACAACAGAACAGCAATGCATTTTATGGACGACCATTTCGTGAACCTAGGAGAGGAGGTAATTCTGACTTTGCTATGACAATCTGGCGCTTCTGAATCAGCTACTGTTTTGTTATTAATTTAAGTATTTGCTATTGACTGTTCAAATGCGTCGTGTGTGCATGCGTGCGTGTGTGTGTGTGTGAGAGAGAGAGAGAGAGAGAACGCGCTTGTCGGAAGGAGGGACTTTGTAGAAAACGTAGCGTTTGAGAAAGGCGGGGCATAGAGGACCTACAATAATGTACAGTATTTGAAAAATAATGTGTTTTTTGAACATTAAAGCATGTCAACATATTCTGTTACACCAAATACACAAAATAATGATCTTTAAAAAAGCATCATATGACCCCTTTAAGTAAAACAATTTTTTTTTAAAAAGCCTTAATGAAATTGATCCAAATTTGTTCTGATGAAATCAAACTCATCTACATCTTGCATTGCCGATTTTGAACGCGATTTTGTGTAGCTTGTCAGTGAACTATGGCTCTGTGTAGTAAATGCCGCTCCATCTGACGAGGCTTTACTGACGAGATGCGCATGAAAATCACATTCGATTTTTTGCACAGCCCTACCTGAGGGTGAGTACATTTTCATCGAATTTTAATTTTTGGGTGAACTACTCCGTAAAATACATTTCTATCACCACTATGAATCAGAAATGATATGCTGCATGGCAAAACTAACTGAACATCCTCAAAAGAATGTTGTTTTTGAGTGGTTATGTGTGGAAAATGATGACTCTGCCAACCTCTGAGTCGGAGGCGTGTGGGTAAACTGAAATAAACGTCCTCCACGTGGAGGTGCAGTGCGCTGTAAAACTCTCGACATGCCTCCTCTCCTTTCTCCTGTAGATGATTCAGCAGCTCCGCCAGCCTGATACAGGTGGGCACATCCAAATCCCTGAACTAATGTTTGGGAAAATCATTATTGGAGAGAGAAATAACATACAAATTTTGACGATTGGACTGTTTATCTGTATTAAGTGCTGCAGACGTGATATCAAAACCCGGAAGGCTAATTCACCATGGGTTCCCTCGAGATTTTCCTATGGGGTTTTTCCAGTGCAGGAGTAAAATAAGGTCTGTGTGGTAAACACTGCTTGACAATACTTGAACGTTTTGATGTACAGCTGCACACTCTTACACAACAAACGGTCTTATGTGGTTATTTATTATGAAAATATTTTTAGCATTTTCAGTATAAGTGTGTGTAATATACGTTGTAGAGCAATAAATCCAAGTATAGTAAATTTGTGTCTACCACAGAGCTTGTTTTACTCAGAAACCCCATTATAAAACCCCATAGGAACATCTTGATGTAACCCGTGGTGAATTAGTCAGACGTTTTTGACGTCACGGCTGCAGCACTGCAGATACTAAGGGTGGAGCTCTTACCTTGGAGGCCTCCTTGTCAGTCAGGATCTGTGGGTAGATTCTGTTGAGCTGCAGGATGAGTTTATCCAC